TTACAATATCTAAAAGTTTATCCAAGTAACCAAACTAATTAGTCATTATTTGGTTGAAATTGTACTTTTCCTTTTTCTTTTATCTAATTTAATCTCGTGTATAATTTTTTTCTCCTTCGATTATCTATTTTACCTCAAATATCACTATGATATTTTATTTCTATTTGATTTTTCATGTATGTATTTAAATTTGGTATAAAACTTGTTTATAGTTTTTTTATGCAATCTATGAATATTTTTATGTTTTTTAAAATATTTAAACTTATGTGGGTAAAATTAAAATTTAGATTTTTTCTTTACGTAAAAGTTTTCATATTAAAAAAGAAAAAAAATCTCCGATTCCCAGCTGGGATCCCCGGTCCCCGTTAGGGGTGGGGATGGGGATTCATTTATATTCCCCGGTGGGGATGAGGATAAGGATTGGAATGAAGATTTGGGGATGGGGATGTGGTCCCTTATATTCCTCGCCTCCGTCACCATCTCTAGGCCCAAATTAATTACTATAATAATTAAGTTGTCTTATCTCCTTATCCTAAGTCTCATGAACGAAATTTCTAGATTATTCCTAGCCAAATTCCGTTCACCCCATCCCATAGGGTTGTAGAGTCTTCCTGCTTCAACTTTCAATAAATAACCAAAAAGTGGTGAATGTTCTTGAAACAAGAAGCTAAGTTTAGAAGATTTTGTTGAGCAAGAGCCAATGGGTTGTTGTCGGTATATTGATGTTGAAATGTTGAGCACAAGTAACAATATTCATAATCTTGGGGATACAATGATTGGTGGTCATCGTAATGAGGATCTTGAAGGATGCTATAACCCAATACTAACAATATTGATAATGTTAGGGATGCAATGATTGGTGGTCAAGATAATGATCATGTTGAAGGATACTACACCCCAACTCGTAATGATATTGAAGACTTTGAACCATTCTTTAAAAATTTAATGAAATCAATAATTGGAAATGATCTTGAACAACAAGAGGTCCAAGAGGAGGTGTCAAACTCTAACCATGAAGAAGAAGTGGTTAAAGAGAAGGTGGCAAACTGTGAGTCTACTAATACCCTTGTTCAACAAAACCCCTCATTTTATAACCAAAACCCCTACACAGACCATGTGAAAACAATCACAAACATGAACCAAATTGCAAATAAATGCATTTTCATCTTGAAAGCTTCATCCTTCAATGCATTGCACTATGCCTCCAACGTGTTGATACTTCTTACCATTTCATTGTATTGTGCCTCCAACGTATTCACATGAGGGGCAGGTGAGGGAGTTAACGACAATGAAATAATGTAAGTTAACTCGGGGAACCATATTCACATAGAAAGATGATTAAAATGACCACTCATCTAGTTTTTGAAAGGTTGATCTGTTTTCGGAAAAAAATATATACCACACGAACAGTTTTTGCAGTTCCACCTAAAATAAGTCAAATCTTGGCCGGACGTTGAGGTCGTCGATCTATTTTAAGGACTGGTTTAACCGGTTTTTTTACCATGTCTAAATATAATTACATACCATTTTTTAAAAATTGGACTATGTACAAATTTGTTGCTACCACCTGTAATTTACTCTAAAAGATACGACAAAAAAACTTAGTGTTGTTAGTGTGAAGATGCTTTTGGATAACATGAATGAGACATGGAAAGTATGTTTAGAGTGGACTGGGGGAGTGTAAGGTGTAAGGATAAGTACAACTTTTTGGTGCAGTAAAGAGTACGAGTGATGAGTGCGGCAGAAGCAGAGCGCTAGTAATGAAAAAAAAAATCTCAACAGAAGAAAGTAAAGTATAGTATAGTATTTGTCTTCTCATGCAGAACATTACAATGAAAAAGAAATTTTATATTATTATAATTGTCAGTTAAAAGCCAGTATTTTGGGGGCCTTTTTCCTGTACAAATCAAATCCCCATTTTCCCATACCCACAACCATCAAATCAAATATCAAGTTCTCTTTACAAAAACACCATCAAAACCATTTCAGGAAAAACTATTCAATCTACGCTACCCCCATTTTACACACACCCTATCTTTTTCTCTCACATAATTTAAAAAAAGAAACACAAATTACCTTTTTTATCCAATGGGTTCGTTCTCCCTTTTAAGTTTTAACTTTTAACATCGAAACTTTGCTGTTATAATTCAACATAATCATGATGAAGTAAAATGATTCGTTATATTATAATGGTATTTTTAATCAAAAAATTTATATTTAATCATAACAAGTTTTAGATATAAAGTTATAAAATCACTTTTGTATAAACTGCTACATTCCAAATAACTTCTCAATTCTGTTTAAGGAAACGAATATAACATTTTTTTCCTCAATATTTTAAGGTTTAAGGTTTACATGTATTTTATCTTATTATACTACAAGTTGTGAGACTTATATACTATACGGGTTAGGTAAAACAAAAAGTTAAATATGAAGATTTAATCGAAAATTTATTTAAATTTGAAATTTTAGACTTGAAATTTAAAATTTAAAATTTGAATTTAAAAGAAAACATATTAAATACAATATATGAGTAATAATATTGTAATTTATTGATTATTTTCAATTAAGACAATTATTAATTGAGGTGTAAATATCATGTGTTAATTAAGAAAAGATAAAAATAAGAAAATGAAAAATATAAAAACATTTATTAAAAAATATTAGAAAATGTCATGTGTCCAAATGAAGAAGAGAATGACATGTGACAATTTTTTTTTTGATTTATTAAGAAGAATTAAAAAAGATTATTTTATAAAATTATGAAATTTCTTTCTTTTGGGCCTTACAAACTTTTAACATATTTATGTTTTTTTGTCATTATTATATATATATATATTAAAAATGTGAAGAAAATGAACAGTAAATCTATCATGATTTTTGTCTATTTTGGTCCCTTAAGTTACATTCCAGATCCCTGTATTTTTGTTTGTATTGCAATCTTTTAATTTAATGAGTCCCTTATTTATGTATATATGTTAAAAAAACGTCCATTCTATGCTTTGGGTATTTTTTGTCGTTTTTGTTATTGTTTATATTTTTGCTTTATACGTGTTGTCTTAATGTGTTTCCTCTGATTCCACCGCCTTTGTTCTCCAATCGGATGCTTACACAGTTGTTTCCACCGCCTTCTCTCGGTCGAATATCATAACAATTTATGGGCAAACTCCATTATCTCCCCCAGAAGAAGATTTACATCTCTCGCCTGATCATATACCCGGTTCACCAACGGCTACACCAGGGAAGGGGATAATAACGATGAATGAGGTGGGATATCTTGGAGACGGAGCTCTGGTGGCGGAACAGGAGGTGGAAGCGATGGCGAAATATGAAGTGGATGACAGATCAATTGGGAGAGAGACGAATACCAATCCACCAGGGTCGACCACAACCTCTGTTGCTACCGCATCAAGCTGATATCGGTCTTCTCGACCGAACGGCCCGTGAAACACCCACAAAAACATCAATCGCTGCCATACACGATCTCTTCCACATCTGCTTCAACTTCGTCGTTGGCTCACACTTTTCCGTCTCGGTCAACCTTGGCGTTCTTCCTATTTTTTGTTCAAGGTACGGTTTTCGATTTCTGCTATGGACGAAGTTATTCAATGGAAATTGTAATTTATTACCGACTTGATTCTTCCAATTGATGATGCAGGCCGGAAAAGGTCAACTGAGGCACCGGTGTTGTGATTTGCAAAGATTCTGAGAGGTGGGTATTTTAACGACGACGGAATTGTTGTTGCTGGCGATGAGGTCGACAACATCGTAGATTTTCGGTGCTCCTCCTCGGTTGTTTCTCTTTCTTTTTCTCTTATAACCATGAAATCAAGTTTAACTAAGTTTTCCTAATTTTTTTTAGGATTGCTTCAATCGATTTAGAATAGGTCACAACAGGTGGAGATCAAATACGGGCTATAGAGATCCAAACCTAAATCGGGGAAGACGTTGCATCGACAGAGATGGTGAAACTTTTATCGGCCAAATATTTTCAGGTATGATCGATTTATTATTTACTCTTCACACTGATTTGTTGTTTTCTTTCCCTTTCTTGCTTTTCAGACTTGCTTCTCAATATCCTATTTTAAGATATGTTTTCACTTACTAACAATATTTTCTTCATAAAAAATGGATGATCTGAGGATTATTCTTTTAATTTGGAACTGGAGATAGGTAAATTCAATATATAAAGAAATGTGCCCTGTAGCACATCAACAAACTTCAAATTTGTTTCATAATACTAAGGATATGGATAAAGAAACAATAATTATTGCATTGCACATAAGATAATGTTAATCATCCCCTGAAGGACCGTGAATTTGTTACATAATACTAAGCATATGGATAAACATACCTAATAATTGTTTTAATAGTAATCAGAATAATCAATGTACAATAATTATTACTCAAATACGCTTGGGATTATTACTCTTAACAGTTATTAAAGCTTCACAACATCATGATATACCCTCTACACTAATGTTGTCGCTGTTACTATCATTGCTCTTTAGGGGTCAATGATTCTAATTAGATTATATGTCGACATGCATGTGCATACCTATAAACTTCTTTTGGATTCTACCTGGGAAACATTAATCATCCTGATAAATCACATGAAATTATTGTATTATTCAGGTCATTTTTCTCTGATGATCACAAAAGACCTGTTTGTGTTTTTTGAGCATCTGATAGTATGATGAATGCAACTAGGAGTAGTTAAGAGCATAATACATACATTGTCACCTAAAATTGGTTGATGCATTTTTCTTTCATATTATATACATATGTTTGAGAATTAATATCTCATTTATTTTATGACAGCAACAGGTAGATCAGCAATGGGTACAGGAAAATATGAGCTTCAGTTAAGTTGTTGCCTTCTTCCGGAGGGCAAATCGGTAAATTATCACCACCTTATTCTTTTTATCCAAATTCAGAAATGTTTAGGTTAGAGTTTGGAAATGGTATGTTTAGTGGTATAGAGCTCAAGAAAATCATGACTAATGAACAGCTGCACTACAGTCTCCACCGTTGATCCCACCTGAATCGACTGTAACTGTAGCGGTTCCTTTTTGCACTTGGTTGCCCTTCCGTTTCAGGTATATCTCTTTCTTCTCCCTTCTTAAAATTCTCCCTTTTAGGGGTTTGCCCACCAACTGTTTGCATATAATGTTTATAGTTATCATCAGAAAAGCAGCAAAGTCTACTACCTGTCGATACTGTACTGATGCTAATTTTCCTTTTTGCACTTGGCTAATTAAACTGCATATACTGTACTGATGCTATCAGTCAATTCAACTGATTTTATACAACTGATTATATCAGCCAATTCAAATACAATGCAATTTTTTTTTAAATAAAATCGACTGATTTTATCAATAAAAATAACTTTTTTATCATTAATAGTTTGTGACTGGACTGTCAATTTTGTTGAAAGACCAATTTGCCCTTGTACCCAAATATGCCACAGTACAGTAAAATGGGACAGTGTATACATTTTTTTTGTTCAAATTAATTTGCCCCTGTACCCAAATATGCCACAGTACAGTAAAATGGGACAATGTATGCATTTTTTTTTGTTCAAAGTAATTGCAATTTTTTTAAAAAGTTGACTGATATTGGCAGTAAAAAAAGTGTGTGGAATGAATGTTACAAGTGGAGAATTCAGTTTCATATGAATTTTTTACGTTGGAGAAATTGATAGCTGTATGGTATGTCAGTCTTAGTCTTAGATAATGATGTGATATAACTTCATTGTGGAAAGTTGAACTGGATGGGAAGATGGATGGGGCTGTTGAGACCTGCTGTATAATCTCTTTCAATTTAGCAATGTACATTTTTTTTTATAGCATACTACAACACTTTGATATCTTTTCTTATTAACACATTGTCCTGTGAAAATTCTATCCAATTATTGGATTGTATTTTCAAAATTTTCTTATTATATCATTTACACTGTTTATAAATGGGCAAATCTCATACAATAGCAACGTACTTTATTGTGGCTAACAACTTAGGCAATGTACTTTACTATGACACAAAAGCAACACCTTCCGCCACCCGCAACGCGGGGGGAAACTTTCTAGTTTAATATCATTATATGAAATCAACACCTTTCCTTGTGACCCATATTTTTTATTTATTGATTAAGGATTGTATATATTTCCCAATAATCATGTCTTTTATGCATACATTTGCTTCATTTTCATATTATAACTAAATCTATATTTTTACTTAATACCAGGAAGATCCGCTAGAAAGATTTTTTTAACTTCAAACTTTTTATAAATACTTTTTCATCTTTTTTATATAATTAAATCATGTAATGTATTAGAAAGCTAAATTTTTTGGTGTTTTCTTAATATTTTTTTTATCATAGAAATCACACGTAACTAGAGTAACCCAATTACAAAGCTTTTTTATTCAAATACCCAATTATATTTATATTAATGAAATTCAGATCGGATAAATACATATCACAATAAGTTAATACATCTTAGTTATTATCGTACAACGAATGAGAAAATAAACGGGCAACAAATTGCACAGCTAAGACTTTTTGTATGATAAAATCAATTCTTTTGAAAACCACATCCATATATTTAGAGGATATAACATTGTTATGCATTATCCGTTGTACTATACTAAAAGGCTCCACCGCATCCGACATAAGGAAACCAAACGTATCAAATGCAAATGTTATGAACACGTGTTGATTTTCTATGCACGGTTCTCATGTTTGGTGACCTTGCATATAACAGCTTTTAATGCAACCTGTCCCGCCGTGAAACCCCCGACCCTCAAGCCTACGAGAGGGGATACCCCTGTAAGGTCCACACATGTTTGTTTCCTTCAAACTCATCCAAAAATCAAAACGTCAGCCGGTCTAAGGGTTGACATTCCTTCTGTTGGGTCAGTCAGGAAATTCACATGAGCCTCTTTCTTGGTGGAAACCCCGACACACTTAAATATGTCGACCAAAACATCCTTAACCATATCGTGCCTGTATTTGAACCCCGAGAGTTCTTTGCAGTGAACTGCATGCTCTCCAAAAGAGTTCAAACATGCCTTGCGGCACACCGTACATATCTCGTGGGCTGAGAATATTGGAATCATGAGTCAATATTTGAGGATGGCCACATGAGACATATTGAGTATGTGGTGTACGTAAACACTAGAAAACTACTTTCTGCCGAACCGTCATGTTGAAATGCACTTCCTTATGTTGGACAATTTTACTAAAAAGAGCACTCGTGAGTGTATTCTGGGATTTTTTTTTTTGGGGGGGTGTCCTTAGTAGTAAAATTGCTAAGGTCAATGTCTGGAAGCTTGTTACGAATAGAAGCTAAGACACAAGCATAATTAGAATCCATACCATAAAAGTCGATATCCCGTAAGATGTGGTCTTGCAATACTTAAGATTGGGCCATTGAGGCAACAAAATCATATGAGGTAGCTTCTACTGCCGAGTATAAACCCAAACCACCAAACCGAATGGGTAGGGAAGGAAGTCATCACTGTATGTTGCCAAAGAAAGGGTCACCACAAACTCAATGTCCTCAATCGTCCCGCGCAACCCATTATCGAAGAACACCGTCTCCTCCATATGAATGGGTTGGCATGTCCTCAACTCAAAGAAAAGTTTAACAATACCCATAGAAGACCGAAGTAGAAGAAGCTCACTCTGCAGGTCAGACAATTATGAAAGAAGACGCATCAAATTCACAACGTTTTCAACCCTCTTTATGGCTAAACTGCAAATCAAAACTAACATCTCTACTAAGAAGCTTTTCATTTCAAAACTTTTTGCTCTCTACTAGAGATTTCTTGTCATATTAATTATATTTTATTAATTTATATTATTAGATAAAAATAAATAATCTTTACGAATATTTTTGTTTGAACTTTTTTTTTCCTTCTGTGAATGCTTTAAACATGCAAAGAAAAAAAAACTTATCTTCGGGTTTTTTCTGACAAAATCCTTATACTAAACAAAAACCTTATACTAAATTATACAATAGTTATCACATAACCCTTTGTTCTCATACCATATAAACATAAAAACATATAGGTTAAAACAAAATGGACTTAAAAGTAAATATCATAAAAGTAAAGGGGGTGAAACTGAAACAATAAAGATTCTTTACAAAGGCCACCTTTTTTTACGTTTCCCATCATACCCACAACACTTTTGGATCTTTGCCACTAATACTACTGCCAAAAAAATCTTTTTCATAACAAAGACCCCATAAAAAGAAACACATCCAACCCTATTTTTTTAACTTTTTTTTTTCTGACCATTTTACCCCCCTCAATTTAGACCAAAGAAAACCTCCAATCTTCCATTTTTAACAGTTTCACAAACAGGACAAAACATCAGTAGACCTTCACAACCCCTGCAACAACACAGATGCCTGCAAGGTAACAATAGGATGCACGAGCTTCTCACGTGACACACCTTGCATACCATTTTCTTCTCTCTTGTTTCTCTCTCATCGTCATCATCATCTTCATCATCGTGATCATGATCACCACCTCCATTACAGACTGATTCTGCATCTTCATAGTTTCTTTCTCTAGCTTGATATAGCTTTCTGTTGAGGTCTGTAACCATGGCTTCGTTTTCAATGGCTTTTTTCTCCCAATCTTTCGCTTCTTTTTCCGCCATTAGTAAACAGTTTTGAAGCTCTATTGTTCTGTATGTTGCAGTGTTTAAAATTTGTTCTTTTGCCTCCATTATCGCCTTCATCTTTGATTCGTAACCCTGCATCATGATCACCTCTCTTCTTCTTGTCACCTCGTTCAACACAGCTTTTAATTTCTCATTCTGCTTGAAGAAATCACGAAAAAGTCAAAGTTATAAACGTATGCCATTTATTTCGAAAAAAAATAACATTAAAAACTTTTAAGAAAACCAACAACAAAACGAAATGCTCCGAAAATGAAGAGATAACAAAAAACAAAAGAAGGGAGAAAGGAATTTCACCTGAAAATGAAGAAAACAGTCCATCTCTAACCTTTGTCTCTCAAGCTCAGAAGACAAATTTTGAAACCCAATCATCCCGTTTCTTCTCGAATTTGATGAAGATAGAACAAGATTATGATAATCAGAAGCGGAATTCATAATTTTTTGAGGCTCAAGAAACCTTTGATCTTGTAGTTGTTGTTCGTATGGACAGAAGGCTCTGTTTTCATCCCCAATTCCAAAAACAGAGGAACCAGTCATGAGAACCCAATCCTGGGGTAAATTAGCGAACCCCATGTTATTATTCTGATAAAGATCAGAGTAGCACTGTGCATGGACAGCCATAATTACAAAAAACCTCCAAAAAAGATCCAATCTTTGACTGTTTGAATCTGGTGTTTCTTTAATTTTTCTGAGGGAATGGAAGAGAGAAAAAAAGGTAGGTTAGAAAAGCTACGAAGGTAGAAGGGTCATGCTCTTTTGTTTGTTTGTTTGTAACATCAGAACAGAAGCATGACTTTCTCTCTCTAGAATCCTCTTTTTTCTGTCTCTCTCTCTAAAAAGGCTTTTAAGTGGCAGTGGTTTAGTTCCCTCTTAAATGGGCAATTAAGTTTCTTTCTTCTTGCATTGGTAGATGTGGTTTAAAAGTTGAAAACCGAAAGAGGATGAATGAGAGAGTAATAAGTTGAAAGGATCTTTTGTGTGATGAGAGAGAAAAAAAGAAGGTGAAAGGTATAGTTACAAGACATGTGTATGTATATAATGTGTGTATATATATAGATAGATGGATAAAAAGGGGTCAAAAGGAGATTTGGTGAAGAGTGGATTATGCTTAGGTAATCAAATGGACTAAAAATAGTGGGGTTGAGGGTAGGGTAGGGTAGGGAGGGGGGGGGGGGGGGGGGGGAAGAGAGAGAGTCTTTTGTTGTTAATGGTTCAATTGTCAAGGAGAGAAAAAGTCTGAGGGGGGAAAGGGGAAGGGGGAGAAGTCATGCAGATTTTGTGACAGAAAGAAAGGAAAAATTAGTTTCATTCAATCAACTTGGGAAATGTGAAGTGGACATAATCAACAGCTTAACTTAACTTCTTATTCAATTCAAGAGATCTTTCGGGTATCATTTAGTTACACACCATCTATTCTTGTTAGGTTTCTTGTTAAATAATTTTTTAATGATGAATTTAATCCAGTAATTGTACATAAAACTGCAAAAGTATTCAATTGATTAATATAGGAAAATTGTAAAACATTTAGTAGTTGTTTGGTACACTTATTATTGGATATTATAACAAGTTGTGTCTGATTCGGTTGTATAACAAGTTTTAAATTAATTAGATTAGATTTGCCTGACTCATCAACTATTAAACAAATTTTTAATTGCAATATTAGGTTTTATTTAGGGGACTAAAAAGAATATTTGTTGTTTTGTGCATACGTGTATATGACATAAAACAAAATGTTTTTGTTTTTTGTGCTAAGTGTGAGGTTGTAAAAGGTAAACCCGTGACTATTTGCAAAAGAATTCACATTGTTCATGTTTGCAAAATGCATCTATAATGCATCCTTAATATACATTACGTTATTTGAAATTCACATTGTTCATGTTGCAATATCCATTTATATGCATCCTTAAAATATACATTCCTTTTGTTTTACAAAATATATGTTTTAAAAGTAATATGATCTGTTAACATTTGACATAATTTATAGGAAAGGAAGAATATTTTTCGGGTATCATTCAGTTACCATCCATTCATGTTACGTTTTCTTGTTATTATGAGTATTTATTATTATTATTATCTATCTTAATTTAATATAGTAATAATAAAAAATAATTATTCATTTGCTTAATAGATGACTAGTCAATACTCATGTGAAATGCATCTTTACTTTAATATTATATTTTTAAACAAATGATGTATAATAAAGTAATTCAAAATATAGGAAAATTATGAATATTTTAGATGAATTATTAGGTTTAGAGTAAATTACAAAATTGTTGATATGCTTATTATTATTATATTTTATCATATATACTTCAAAATTTAAAAAAAATTAATTTGAGTTCTTATTTCAAAGTTCCATATCATCTTTGGTTCATGGGGCAACCTATTTTTGTTCTTATGTGAGGCTTCATATAAAGTTTGGTCTTATTTCAAGGTTTAAGAGATCAAAATCCAAATAAAAACATTGAAACAAGGACCAACATTGGAATATATTTCAAAAATTGGCCTAAACACGGTAAAATAAAATTTTACCAGGACCATTTTTGTAACTTATCCTTGGCTTGTATAGGAAACTAAAAAGAGTATCAATGTTTATGTATAACCAAACGGTCTTTGGCCTAGCGGTAAGGAGTGACTCTCAAATGAGTGGTTATGGGTTCAAATATCAATAGGAGGCATATGTGGTGTTTATGATCAGATTATGAGTAAGATAGTTTGTTGTTTAAAAAAAATTATTTATGAATAATAATAGTATACGTGCATATGACATAAAACAAAACGATTTTTTTTAATCTAAGGGTGAGGTTGTATAAACGGTATATTTATCTTTTACGGTGTGGTTTATCCATTAGGACAAGAAAACTCTATACAAGAATATCATACTCGGATAGTGCTTACGTGAAGGGTTTCTCCGTGCGGGGTAGCCTTTTCTCACTCTTTCTTTCTCTGATTTGGTCAACAACTTTTTTTTTTATTTCTTTTTTCTTTTTTAGTTTTTATTAAATTGTATATATACTAAAAAATTATAAAAATATATTAAGATTTATGGTTTTTAATTCCCTAATAAAAGTATAATATTTTTACAAAGCATTTTAAATATAAAAATAAAAGTGAGATGAAATGAAATGTGATAATTTCTTGGTTTTTTTAAGAATGAAACTATAGTGAATGGAAAATGAAGTAGCTGACAAGACAGAAAAAATAAAAGGTAAAAACTAAGTACACCCATTTTGAGAATTCACATTGTTCATCTTTGAGATATGCATTCAAAATGCATCCTTGAATATGCATTCCCTTTATGTTACAAAGTAATACGATCTGTTGATATATCACATAATTTAATAAAAATATTTAATAATTGGTCAAATTAGAAAACGGCATGAAGATGAAAAAAAATGTGTATAAAAATCAAAATCACCAAGAACATGTAATAGTAAAAGTTACTAACAGGCAAAAAATGATACTCGATTGAGCATTACCAAAACAATGTTGTGTAAAGCCATTGAAACTTTCATTTATTTGTTTATAAAGTTTTTTATCCATTCATATTTAGATTACATTTCAAAACATAAATTGGATGGCGATTATATCTAAAAATTCACATTTTAAAACATGATATCAAATAGTATTTTCAATTTTTATAAAAATTGCTGACGTATTTTTTATTATTTTGTTCTATTTTAGGTAAACACCGAAATAAAGTTGTCAATATGTGTATTGTTGAGCATCAATGTGCATTTTGATTTATGACCCAAGAATTTATTGTAATTTAGTGAATATAAAAAGAACCCGGTCTTATAAAGAAAATAAAATGAAAACCGAAAGACTTTCAACCGTGTTTAATACGTAAGTTATTAAATTTGCTTACGTGGTATTATATATATATATATATATATATATATATATATATATATATATATATATATATATATATATATATATATATTTGAACCGGCAATCTAATCTACTCTTAAACTAACAACACCTATTTCACCTATGTCCACGACGGGACTTGAACCCTCGACCTTAAATAGGGAGGGCACCACCTGATACCGCTGGGCTACAAGCCCTTTGGTATTTTATATGTAAATAAGAACATGTTAATCCTCATTCTATTCTATTTATAGATTTTACTCTATATTTGTTGTAAAAAATAAAATTGTTGTCAATAAAATAAAATAAAGACAAATAGATTTCTAACCACATTCTTTAGATATCGCTATATATTCTAAAATGACTATAGTTTTATATTTCATAAAATAACTTAAAGTTGATGTTAATTTATATATTTTTCTTATTATAAAAAGTTAATTATTTATTTATTTACTTTATTTTTTTACATCAAATATAGAATTATGGATATTCAAATTTAAATTTGGAGTTACAATGTTAAAAAATGTTGTGATTAGAGTTGAACTATCACTTGTCATATGTGGTTTTATATATATATATATATATATATATATATATATATTATATATATATATATATATATATATAATTTAACTTGTTATAATTTTAAGTATATTTTTTTGGTACTTATTAATGTTACATTCAAAATGTAAAATTTTCAAATATATTTAAAATTTAAACACTTTTTAATAATTTATAATATGATTACATCTTTTATAAAAAAAAAATTAAATTGACATACACACATGTATATATTTCTATAAATGAGTGTGTATAATTATTTTATTGTGTGACGAATGAAATAATTTATTTAATAAAATGTTTGTTTTACTAATATTACAATTGATTTAAATGATTTCATGGGAATTGTATGTTTGATTATATTTATCTGATTGAAGCTATTAAAATAAAAAGATTTTAGAAGAATTATAAAACCTTATAAATTAAAGAGATATTAACGAAAATGTATAGAAAGTTGAGAAAATCAAACAGACTTGGTATATTATTTTGGTGTAAAAAATAATATAAAAACATAGAATATATTTGAAGATTAATCACTATTATCATTACTTTTCCCTGTAAAACTAAAGCTTAAAAATAAGATATAGTGTTGTAGATGGTCTATACTGCATATTATAGTATATTGAATTCATATTATCATAACTTATTTTATGCAACCTTATTATAGTTTTCTCTATATTGCATTTAACACTATAAAAGTTAAATTGAACATATTTAAACAAATAGGTTTTTATTTGTTAATATTTTTCCCACAAGTTCAATAGTCATCGACTCTATATACATTATAAATGAATTTAATTTATCAAATATTAATTAGACTCACTTCATTTGTAGTTGAAGATTAATTACTATTATTGTTACTTTGTACTATAAAAATAAAGTGAAAATTATAGTATTGAAGATGGTCTCAAGTGCATTACAATATATTGAATTTTATATATTATTCCAACTTTTTTCATGCAACCTTATTATAGTTTTCTCTATATTGCATTTGAACACTACAAAAGTGTTAAATTGAACATATTTAAAAAAAATATATATATGTTAATTTTTTCCAACAAATTTAACATTGACATCTATGTTTAATAGTCATTGACCTCTATATCCATTATAAATGAATTTCATTTATGAAAATATTAATTAGACTCACTTTCTATCAAACTATAAATTATGAATGTTCTATATAACCATATTGATATGGGTAGTGTTTTATACACAAAAAATTTTAACCGTACACAATAATTTATGTTTTAAATAATTGTACTGTATAACTATATAAAACATAATTTGTTGTCTACGACTAAAACATGTTGTATACGGATCTAATTGATATATGTAACACTACAATTTGTAAATATGCCCTCTTTCAATCTCCAATTCACCATTATCTTCGTCACCCATGTTCCAATTTTTTTTTTCTTTTCATCTTACTATTAATAGCTCATTTGATTTAAAATATCGACTTCAATCGACCCTTCAAACTTTATAGGGGTCCTTTGTGCCAAATTTAAGCATTCACCTTACGGATTGACCCTTCAACTTGTTTTGTTTATCCAATTTCGTGTTTCAACTTG